AAGGGAAATAATTTCCCTTGCAAATTAGGATTTAGGGATCCCATGAGGCAGCGGGTTGAGCATAGTCAAGCAAATCCACACACAGTAATAGCAGCCATGTAACCACATTTTAAAGATCTTGGGAGAACATCAACCAGAATACCTTGGAAAATCACGTGCACAGCATCAGAAAGCCCAATAGCATGCTTCCCGTTATAAGCTAGCTGACACATACTCACAAAATCACAAATGATGACATGAGATTAACGTGGGGAGTTCCGCATCATACAGAAATCACTAATTGGCTGCTCTATGCAGTGTCTATTAAACTTACTACTTTCATTCTGTGGTAAATAAATCCATTCCATAAATCAGATAATGCCTGGAGACATTTAAATAAAAATGATGCACATACATGTGTTAATATGAGAACTTCTATCGTAAAAGGTGACCGTTGTTAGTTTAAGGAAAATCCTGTGACTTGTGCTCAGTATAATGAAACCTGACTGAGCCTCAGTTTCTGCTGTGAAATGAAAGTACACTCATGTACATCTACCTGACAAACAGCACTTAATTTAATACAAATCATAGAGAAAGAGTGTGTAAAAGTATAAAAGTTTTAAGTTTTTTTCCTTCTCTGTGGATATTATTTGATACTGATCTTTAGATGAGCAGAGCCATTTTCACCCTCTCTAAACACAAAGACACAGATACGCACACACACACGCAAAGTTCCCTTAGCAAAAATGGAACAGGAAAGAACTAATTTCACACTAAGAATGCACAGGGTATAAATCTGTATTTACTTCCCTTATTTAAAAAACAAAGACCCTGAAGCAAGAGAATTGAGAGAACTTTCACAATTATTTTTTATTATTATTTTCTCTTAAACTCCCCTTCTTAGAAAACTGTATCTTCTTATATTTGTACGTGAAACCTTTCTTCAAGTTGCTTTCATATGGTATTAACTTAGCACATTTTGAAGCAAATTCTCCTGGGATTAGAATTTCCCATAGTTAAGGTAATATGACTATTTGGTGGGAAAATTTGAAGATCGATCTCTTCATTCTAATTATACCAATCAATTAAAAACTTTCATCCACATATCCTTTCATCTAGTTGGAGATAATTATTATATTCTTTTATCTAAAATCAGTCATACCAGTACTTACCATTACTTTTTCTAGCAGTTAGAAAAAGCATGTAGAAAATGCTAGAAATTGTACAAAATGTCTGTACCATTTCCTCTTCTTGAGATATTTAAGAACAGGACAAGTAGATATCTTTAGAGGTCATCAGATCAAATAGCAGATGGATAGATAGTTATGTCACAATTGGTAGAATACCTCCAAAATCACTGCCACATATTCATTGGCACATGCCCACAAGCATGCCACATTGTCAATGTGCTGTAGACTCATCCTAGATCCATCCAAGCAAGAGAAAAATAGGCATATGAATGATTTCTTTCTTGAGTTCTCATTATGTGTCAGGCACTTTTAGGTACCATACATGTATGGTTTCTGTTAGTCTTCACAATGGTTTTATCATGTCATTACTATTATGGTCTTTATTTTTTAAGTTGAGGTATAAATGAAGATAAACCACTTGCCCAAGGTGGTGTGAAGAAAAGTCAAGACCAAGACTTTAACCCAAGCTTGGCTAATTCCAATGCACAAGCTCTTATATGGCAGGATTGTTGTGAAAGGGAATGAGAACATACAGGAAAAGTTCTCAGCACTACGTTTGGCTCATCACAACAAGATTAAATGGCAGATATTATTATTATTATATTTTCAGATAGAATGAATTTAGGAAAGCAGTACAGAAGTTGAGTCTCATTGCTCAAAGCCCCAAATCCTGTGAGTGGCAGAGCCAATATGGAAACTCAGAAGGTCTTGGGGAGCTAAGGTCCCCAAGTGGCTCTGTCTGGAAAATTACTCTGAACTGCCATCATAGGAATCATCAGTGATGCCCAGCAATCGTTATTTACATAAGGCAAACAAATATAACAGAGATAGAAAAGCTAGCATATCTCATGCAAAGATGCCCTTCTTTTACATGAGACAAGAGATCCTTCAGAATACACTGACCAGTAAAGCTGACCTGGTCACCATTAGGAAGTAAAAAAATTTTGAATAATTTTTCAAGTTTTTACTCAGGACTTTCTCATGACAAGTCTATCCAGCAACACTGTAGTTTTAACCTGTTGATCACTGACTTTGCCTCCCCAGGCCAGAGGATTCACATGTACCCTACTCCACAGAGTCCTATCCATTCTCTGTGACAAGGATGATTTTCTGGTGGATGGTTAGTTGGCCAATGTGTAATTATCCCTCTTGAGTAGCAAAAGGCTTTGGCCATCTTAATGAGTCCTAAAGGACAATAATTCATGTTGACAATCTAGAGACTAGCTCTCGTCCAGGGAGATTTTGATTGCCTAACAGGTAGGCCTTGCCTTTCAGAGAGGCTTCATTATGCCCCTTGGTCACAGGGTCTTCAGGGAGGAAAGAAAAGCAGCAAAAGCACAGAGCATACACTAAAAGTTGTTCACAGTAGCTTCAGCAAGAGCCTTTGGCATTTTATTAGAAACCAACATGAGTATTTCTAAATACTGCCTTGAGAGGAAGGGTGGTTATTCATGATGCTCAGGGTGTGGGTTATGTGTCATAACTGGAAAGGGAAAGTTCACCTTCGTGTTCTTCCCAGATATTTCCTTCCATCTCCAATACATCCTATTACAAAGATCCATTGGTGTTTTCAAAACCCTTGAAAATACTTAGCAGAGCAACAAGAAGCAGGAATACAAGAGCAGGGCATTTTGTCATATGGACACGTATGGACAGAAATTGCCAATGTCTTCTGATATTAATTCTTCTTTTCCCTCTATTTTTTTTCTCTTTTTGAGAAACACAAAATGCAGGCAAGCATACTTTTGTTATAGAGAAAGGCCTTAAACAGGAAGTTTGAAGAGCACATAACACTTTTTCCAATCTATTATAGATGCAGGCTTGCTCCTATGAAGAAGCACACGGATCTTGCATAACTTTGAAGTAGGGGAAAAAATCTTCAAAGATTATCTTTAAATACTCTGACAATATGCTCCTGTAAAGAATTCAGCAATAAGAAAATCATAGGAAATTCCTAAGATACAAAAATTATAATTAATGTGGTTTTAAGAAATGAAACTCTCAGCCCTATCTGAGAGATCAGATTTTACCAACAATTCCTCAGCTCAACTCATATACATAATTTAATGCAATTAATGCTACAATACATTATATCAACTGCTGTGTAAGATATCTGGCCAGTACTTTGTACAAGTCTTTCCATTTCATTTCTCCAAAAATTCAATGAAGTATATTTTGGGCTAAATATATCATAGAATATGTTTACTCGCTTATTTTATTTCAACAAGAACTCATCCCTTTTAAATAATAATATTAAAACTTACTTTTCATTTAATTGCTTTTTGTGGGGGTTTCTTAATGAAAATAATATTTGCAAAAATACCATTAACAATCATTGAGCTTGTACTATGTACACTTAGTATGGTAAGCACTTTACCCATATTACTGCATTTATAGTCTTCACAATAGACCCATAATTTAGGTACAGTTATTATCGCTATTTTACAAATGAGGAAACTAAATAAGAGGATAAAAAACTTAATCAGGGCCACACAGTAAATGGCAGAGGCAGTCGGTGAACCCAATTCTAACACTCAAGTCCAAGTTTTGCAAGCACTATGTTACAGCACTTTGGAGGAGGAATAGAAGTCACGCACTACGTGCAGCGTGGTGTAACACTGAAAATATTTTGTCTTTATGTCACAGAGTAGTTTACAGATTCTTCAAATTAGGATGAATTATGTTTAATAATATTTGACTCTAGTTGTAACTGTGTGACATAGGCATCTCACAGAAGGTGAAAAGTTCACTCAACCATCTTTGCACCTAGTTCACTTAACACAATCAAGTACTTAAAAACATAAAAATGTTTGGTTGACTAAGCAGATTTTTACTCTGTCCCTTAGCACGCGGCGTCCTGCCATGGTAAAAACAATTTCCCAACCTCACAGTTTTAGAATTGAAGATGGACCTTCCATAGGACCTCAGTAATCATATTTTCTAACATACAACTTCAGCGCACAAACTGATCAGTGTGTGCTTGTAAGGGTTGATAAAACAGAATATATGAAGCTAGAACTAACCGAGAAATCAGAAACTTCTGCTAGCCATTCATAAGCCTTTCTCCTTTATAATATGTGGGTCCCCGTGTAAACACAAAGGAGCAAGTGACTTCCCAATAAAGAAGGAACTGCCTTTGGTGGCCTAAATAAAGTCTTTGCAGAAGTGGTCAAATATCAGCTAGACAGAACTCCACCTGTTTTTGATGTTCAATTGACAGTCAAGTAGGGGCCATTCCCTTTTAACAAAATAGAAGCAGCGACAGAATGCCTTGCTCTTATATTTCTCAGCATTTTCTCATTCAGTATTCTCAAGGCACATACTCTACAGAGCAAGTATAGAGATTTTATTTAGAGACCACATTATTCAAGAGTAACCATGGAGACAAGTGTAACCCCAGTTACAAACACCTGTCCTACCCAACTGAGCACTGCAACATTCTGCTAGATTCAGTTTAGAAAGAATAAGCTGTTTATTCACCATCAGTGTGGTAGCCAGAGCATTCTTTCCGGTAGTAGTTATAAATTTGTACTTAACTATTTATAACATCTACTCACTTCTCTTTTCTTACCTTCAGTACATGTTTTAAAGAAAATTGGCCAAGCAATGGATGCAGTGACCACTATTTAGATAGGTGAATACCGTGTTCTAATACGGTTTATGTCCTATAATGTCTTCAGTGAACAAATCTAACTGCTTGGTTTCATCTGCCATTACCCACTTGGCATATATGTCACACCATACTAATACTAAGGTCAGCAAAGGAAAAACACATCGTGTCCAAGACTCTCTGAGAAATACAACCAGAAAAAATCTAAGTCGGTGCCTTACCGTGAATGCTCCAGATGTCTAGATGAGGGCTTAGGAAGAGGGCCCAAAACAATTTCCCAATTCTAAGCATGACTGGCAGTGTCTTCATCTCTTGTGTAGATCAGGGATGGAAAAACTGCTCAAGTAGGAGGCTGCCCTTCTTTCTCTGAGTTCTCCAGAGTTGAATCAAGTTACCTACCCGAGAGGCATCTCTGAAATAATAAAAAGAAAATAGAGAGGAGGTGGGAGAGGACAGTAGGAAGAGCCCAAATGATTTTGTGAAACACAGTGAGCAGAAAGATGATGTGGTACTCTGTTATGTGGTTTTTGCTTCTTGGCAAATCAGACGCTCACTTTCAAATACTCTGATCTGCAAAGCAGTTCAGTCCCTAACTTCTCCTTCCGCTCTACCACCCATTTGCCTGCCCCACCTTGAGGTTTTTCTCCATTCTACATTGAGTGAAATGAACAATTAAACTTTCAAAGATATCTATATATTGTTGTAGTCTTTAGGTTGAGATTGTAATCAAATCAAGGTCAGGAAATTCATAATAAAAGTACCTATGGTAAGTACACATTTTTCCCCTTTCCATAGCTTGTGATTATGAAACTTCTTTTATGTAAAAGATTTTAGATTTTTTTTTTCCTCCCTGAACATCATGTCTCTGTAAGATGAGAAGGCTTATTGTCATTAAACCGAGTGAAGACTTATCTGAGGTTATGGAGAAAATGAGTGGCAGGATGTGCTTCCTTAACAGAAGAGGGAAGAACCACATTTTAAAATCTGCAGATACCTATCAATGGAACAAGATCATCTCGTTGCTGGTGCTGGCTATATGTTTTCTGCAAATAATAAAGTTCTGAACTAAAGGAGATCTTGAATATCAATGAAAGGAAACTTCCATTTATGACATTTTTCATGCCATTGTTGTCTGGATATTGTAGAATAGAAACAACAAGGAAGAAATAGGAAAGTTCAAGATCACATAGGTCAGGGTTGTGTGGAATTGTTTTCTCCAAGGCCTCTTTAGGTGGAGATTTTAATCAAACCAAGGTCAGGAAATTCATAATAAAAGTACCTATGGTAGGTACACACATCCCCCATTTTTGTAACTTATGATTATGAAACTTAGTTTAGCTTAGTTTATAATCACAGGAGTGAATTGAATTTACCCACCTTTGAGATGCCAAATGTGAGATCAAGGTTTGTGGTATTTGTGGTCATTAATAGAAGTTGATTTTGTAATCATTTCCCTCAGAGGTTAATGACTTTCTTACAAGACCAATAGTGTTAAGTAAATAAAGTTTTAAAAAAATATATTCATTGATTCAAATAAATAATGTGCTACAGTTAGAGATAAGATGAATAAGAAACTGGTACTAATTTTAAAGAACTTGTAACTTCCTCACATCAGCTTTTAGTGTTAGGATTTAAATATTCATCTTTTCAACCACACGTAGTATGATATAGAGCAACTATAAATATTTCCTTACCAAAAAAATTCATGCTAACTTCAGAAACTTTGGGAAAAGTCTTATATAACATCTAATAGATTTTAAAACAGATAATATATTTTGTTACTTTTATCAGCATGCCTGGCTTTTTATCCCTCCACAGCTGGAGTCCTGAGACCCTCACTGCAGATAAAACCTTGCCTCAGAACCTGACTCCTCTCTTCAGTCTAGGAAAGAGGAATTGAAAGAAGCCAGACTCAGATGTTTGTTAGCTGAGTAACAAGTCGATCTTTCAGTTTGTACCTCATATAGTAATTAAGCTCTCTTGATCCCTAGTCTATCATAGCCATGTACTATTTGATCAGAAAATTATAATTTTCATTTAAATGCACAAATATAAAATGTTTACTACATTTTAAAAAGTCGTTGCATTTTTTATGGGAAACAATTTTAAAAACATAAACCTATCACCAATTTTATGTTGAAAGACAAAAAAAGCAACACAAAATTTGGTATCTTCAAACTTTCTTTGCAAACATCTCAGCTAATACTTGGTGTTTTTTTTTGTTTTTTTGTTTTTTTTTTTCAGTTTTTGGCCAGGGCTGAGTTTGAACCTGCCACCTCCGGCATATGGGGCTAGCACCCTACTCCTTGAGCCACAGGCGCCACCCTCAGATACTACTTGGAGGGAAAGTTTCTTAGTTCATTTACAGACTGAATTATTTTCATGGATTGTGAAGCAGCTACATTTCATGCAATATTTTCCTGCATGTGACTACACAAAACAAGATGCAGGGTCCTGGAAAGATCTTACTACTAATGTCAGACAACATCAATCCCAGAGAGATGAATCTTGGTTCTGATATTTTTAACTTCAAAAAAAAAAAAACAGAAAAAATTCCATAGCTTCTAACAGAAATTTAAAACTTTTAACATTCTTCTACGTGATAGCTTCTTTTTATTAATGTTATTATTAGTACTGGTATCTATACATGACTGTACTATAGAATCGGCATGGAAACTTTTTATAAAATGACTGAAATAGCTGAGTCCTGTTCTGATTGAATCAGAATTTCTCAGAGTGGAGGCCAGTATCCCTATTTTTTCTTTTTTCAGTTTTTTTGGCTGGGGCTGGGTTTGAACTCACCACCTCTGGCATATAGGGCCAGCGCCCTACTCATTTGAGCCACAGGCACCTCCCTAGTATCCCTATTTTTAAAAATCTCCATAGGTGATTTTGATACAATTGGTTGAATAGATATTTGAAAACCAGTTGTAAGACAGCAAAGGGTAATAACTTTTGAGTCATAAAAGATATGGTATCAAATCTTTGTCACTTACTAGTTATAAAACCTTTAACAGGATTTTAACTTTCAAGAATTTAGTCATAAATCTTTAGAGTCTGTGGTAGACAAAGAGATGCCCCTCTCAGATCCCCTTCATTTGTGTATTTGCTATTACAGCAAATACAATGGGGAATACAGTAGGCAGACTGCCTCCGGGTGACAATTCCTTCAAGGTCAGCTCAGCTGAAAACCCACTTTGATCAAGGTCATGCAGGTTGACCAAGGTCATGACAGCCTACCTCTAATGATAGAGCAAGAAAATTCTGGCCATTGGACAACCATTTGGCAATTCTGGCCACTTGGAATGCTGATGGGCAACACTTGATTCAGAACTCTCAGTTGAGTCAGCCACAGATATGTCAGGTCTGTGCCAGTTTAATTGCTTCTGCTGCTCCCTTCCTTTCACAGGTGTGGATTCTAATCTATCTCAGTGCTTCCAGAGAACCAAGCCTGCTCCATATCTCAGTTTCTTCTTCTGTAAAACACAGACAGTAATAACACCTATCTGTTAAGTTGGTTAACTGAGGCAATATATGCAAAGTGATCAGTAAGTTGCATCTATATTTATTTTCAAAACAGTGAAATAAAGTGGGGTTTTATTTAAGGAAGATGAATAACAAGTTGAAAACATCTGTTTGCTAATCAGAATCATTACTGCATAGAGATGGAGACTTTAAAGCAAATGTCATAATAAAACTCTAATTAACAGAGGAAGAAGACATATTAAAGATGGTTGAAGCTTGGCGCCTGTGGCTCAAGTGGCTAAAAGGTGCCAGCCATGTACACCTAAGGTGGCAAGTTTGAATCCAGCCCGGGCCTGCCAAACAACAATGATGGCTGCAACCAAAAAATAGCTGGGCGTTGTGGCAGGCACCTGTGGTCCCAGCTACTTGGGAGGCGGAGGCAGGAGACCCGCTTGAGTCCAGGAGTTGGAGGTTGCTGTGAGCTGTGATGCCACAGCACTCTACCCAGGGGGACAGCTTGAGGCTCCTGTCTCAAAAATAAATAAATAAATAAATAAAATAAAGATGCTTGAATTATAAAGACCAATCAGCCCTATAAAGCCTAAGACAGCAACAAGTTTTTGCATAGCTTTCTTAGGTACACTCTTGCTTCACATTGCTGAGTGTAAGCCAAGGGGTGGGGAAGGATATCAATATGACTCATTTTCAGTTTTTAGGGAACAAATGCACATATATACAACTTCTGTTCAGAAAATTGGATAAGGGAAACATAGGTAGCCACTGGTCAACAGCCAAGGAGCCCTGCTGCAGTAGTGGCTGATATTTCTTAAATGGCCCATGTAATAGCCCCAGCCTCTTCCCTAAGGTCTTTCTAGTTTTTGAAAATAAAGTGCACTGGAAAGCAGATTCTGAGGCAGAGATTAACATGCAGGAAGTTTATTAAGGAGTCTACCAAGGACCATTGAGTTTGGAGCCAGAGAAGAGAACAGGATTGAACAAAGGGCAAAAGGAGAAATCAGAGGTGATGCTGTCTCAGCAAAGGCCTCAGAAAGGCAGACGGTCTTGAAGCTGGGTTAACCATTTAGGGTAGTCTTGAATTTGGCCAAGGAGTTCAGGACTTTTGGTACCTGCACTGGCCAATATAGGCTGTGTCCAGGAAAGGTGGTGCACAGTTGGGTAAGGGAGCTCTCCTCAGCAGTGGGAAATTCTCAGACAAGACTGACAGATGAGGGATCTCAGCCAGGAATACTCCCAACATGTGAGGGAAATAAATTCTTCAGTCCTAAAGAGGAACTGGATGGTGCATCATAGCCTCCACTATACTAGTCTTCTTTCTTTTATGATCACAGCTAAGGTAGGCATTAGGGAAGACAGCTTTTGGGGAGGCACACATTCATTATATCATACTGCTTTCTGTTTGTGCAACTTGAGGCCCAAGTACAGTTTGGCTGTTTAACAGTCATAGCCTTCTATAAGCTAGTTAAGGGTTCTCAAAAATCTGGTAAGATTTGTGTCTATTACCTTCGGTTATGTTTCATGCACAAATAATCACAGTCAAAGAGTTTGTATAAGTTGGGTGTGGTGGCTTACACCCGTAATCCTAGCACTTTGGGAGGCTGAGGCAGATGGATTGCCTGAGCTCCGGAGTTTGAGATCCTCCTGAACAAGAGCAAGACTCTGTCTCTACTGAAAACATAAAAACTAGCCAGGCACTGGGGCAGGTGGCTAAAGCATGAGGATCACTTAAGCACAAATTGTTTGAGGTTGTTGGGAGCTATAGTGGTGCCATGACACTCAACCCCAGGGCAACAGAGTGACACTCTGTCTGAAAAGAAAAACAAAAA